AAATTAATTTTCTTATTGGCCTATTCATTTTGACTAACCCTGTATTGTATAAACCCCAATTGCCTAGTTTCCATCAGGCCACACACTCTCTGAGGATGCCTGCCATAGATGTAGGTGAAATGTCACGAGAGAATGCTTCTGGAACATGGCCAAACAGCTTGGAAAACTCACAGCAACCTAGTGATTCTGTCCAGAAAATGCTTCGACAACACATTAATCTATGGCTTTTTTGGAGTGCAATTCCCAGAATCCCATAGCCAACATGTCAGGTAGATTTTGGGAATGATAGTTGAAAAGTAAGCTTTCCAACCTCAGTGTGGGGGAATCTTAGCAGTGGCCAAAGGAATGTGTCCCACTGCGTGGGCAATTTTCCATTTCCGTGCCCATGCCGTGCTTAATTCCGATCCAGATTTGAGGGAAGGAACTGCAGCTGGTCTTGCGGCTCCTGTGGGTTTGGCTCTGCCACCAGGGTCACCCTTCAGGATCGTGCTTTTCCAGCCCTCTGGCCGCTTGTGCTGGGGAGTAGCCCAGTGTTAGCTGTAATACGGTAACCATGTTGGGCTCTGTTGATAGGGCGGCCTTCCTGCTTTCGGGGCAGCAGCATGGCAGGGAGTGTTGTGGTTACAGCCTTCAGTTACAGCCCATGTTTGTTTTTAAAATGTTGCCATTTCAATCAGGGGGCCCAGGCAAGATTGGGTTACAGCCCTCCAAGCCCTTCCCTCAGCCAGAAGAATGGCCAAGGCCTGCCTGGAAGGAGTCCAAGGGAATGTATACAGTTGTTGCTGCTGGGAGGGGAGGACCTGTTAAATTAGCTGGCTGTAAATAATTTCAAAGGCATTTTCACAGTGTCCAATGTGCAGGGTTGTCTGAAGAGCCCTGGGGAAACTTCGATGGGGATCGCTTTAATCAGGCTGGTCTGCACATCCCCAAAAGCTGAAGGGAGACAGAGCTGCCAGAACCTAGAAAAGTTACTTTTTTGGAGTGCAACTCCTTGCAAACCCAGCCAGCATAGCTATTAGCTATCTGCTATGCTGTTCTTTAAACAGATTTTCAGCTTTCTGACTGTAAGATTAAGGTAAAGATTTTCCCCTGACATTAAGTCTACTCATGTCTGACTTTGGGGGGTGGCTCTTTGGCTCTAAGCCAAAGAGCCGGTGTTGTCCGTAGAAGCCTCCAAGGTCACGTGGCTGGCATACCACTGAGGTCTTACTTTGAGTTTCTGTCTGAACTATTAGGGAGGTACTAAGTGTGCCAAATACAAATCCCAAAATATAGTGACTGATTTATATAGCGCCTTTAAAGTTCAGACTAAAATCCAGTGGATTTACAGCCTCCCTGGCATGGGAGGTGTCGACCATAAAGGTTTTACCATTGATCTATTTGACTTTACCTGGGAAAAGGTTCCTTCTCTTTCTAGGATTGTCAGAGTGAAAGCTGGAGAGGGGTCCTATGCCTTGTGTAGAAGATGTAGCTTCAGCCCCCCCCCCCCCCGAAATTCTCATGGTGGTCTGCGAAAAGGCCTTACTGGTACATTATTTAAACTGTTATGTTTATTCATATCATGATCTGATCACTATGCTCAATGTAACTCATGTGCATGGGGGTATTGGGGTAACGATACAAAAGGTTTGCTAGGGTAGACCCTCTTTCACTCAGACTCAGCCCCCCCCCCCCCCCCCCCCCCCCCCCCCCCCCCGAATCAAAATCCTGGCTACGGGCCTGAGAAGAGGGAATTTGTTACGCAAACAGGTAACAAGAAACATCTTCTGAATGAACTCTTCTACATAACCACTGAAGATACAGGAGTCAACGGTTCACTTTGGCAACCCTGCTGGCACAAGGACCCATCTGGCAAGGGAAAGCAATAGAACTCGTTCCTCTTCATCTCATTTGTGTTTTCCAGTCAAGCTTGTTTCTTACCTCCACTGCTTCCTTCATGATTTAGGTCATGACCAGCTCAGGATGTTTTGCTGCCTGTTTTTTTTTTTAAAGATGTGCACCTGAAACCACAGCAAAGCTAAGGCACATCGTATTCCAAGTCAAGTTATTTTGGCACCTGAAGTAGTATTTCTAAGGTCTTCCCATTGTTGAATGATTTCAACTCTGCTAAAACTATGGGTTTGGCGGCCTGGCATGTCTGGCTTCCCAGAAGGCCAAATTGGACACAGGTGTGTAGAAGGCAAAAACAGAGGTTTGTTCTCATTTGCCAAAGAGGATGTCAATGGAGAAAGCACTGACATAACATAAATGAAAATACAGAGCATTTTTATTTCATTTGATAGCTATTCCAGAAAACCGTGCCAGCTCTTGATTGGCTCAGAAATGGTCCAGCTAGGATTTGCTCTCTGAGTTGTTCAGGGCTCTATGGATGTAATCATTGGTTGGCTCTTTGTATGACAGGAAATTCAATAAAGTGTCATTGGGGCATTTGAAGTGTCAGTCCATTTCAAGGTCTGCCTCCGATAGGGGTGTAGATCTGAAAGGTGTGGCCTTGGATAATTAGTCCTTGATGAACTTAATGGCTGTCTCCAGTGGGAACAATGGGGTTAATGTAAAGTCTATAATGGGTGCTTGAGGAATGGGAGCCAAGCTGTTCCCACCAATATCTCAGATAATATCAAGGAATAAGGAAATGGACCTAGAAACTCTGACTCAAAGACATTTTGTGCTTCCCTCACATCTCCCAGTTCATTATTGAGATTAGAGGAAGGGGGTCTGGTTGTAATTCCAGAGACAATTCA